CCCCATGTCACACACATCCTAGTGTCACACACCCCCGTGTCTCTTCCCCACCCCCCTCAAGAAAAAAGCACATTCAAACTCTGGATCAAGAGGGTTTTATTTTTAAGTGACTTCCAGGGGTCCGGTCGGCTCCGAAAGTGCCAAACCGCCTCGTTCTCACGTGAGGCGTCGATCTCCATCATGTCCCTCTCCGGGTGCAGTTTAGGAACCGAGCTCGGGCTTAACAGGAGGGATCACATTTCTCGCCCCCGCCGCCGCCGCCCCGGGGCGGGGGGGGGGGGGGGGGGGGGGGGGGGTGAGGTTGCTACAGCCAACAGAAGACCCTTGCATGGTAAACCAGATAGAGCCACGATTGGCCGCAGGCTCCCATTCCCGTTGTGACATCTGTTGTGAAGTCACTGCTGCACGTGCAACGGCCGCCGATGGCATCGATCGAGGGAGGCAGCCGAGAAGAAGGGCGTCTAGCCCAGGTCCTGGGGACGGGGCTACCGGCAGCCCTGCAGAGGAGACGCCTCATGCGCTGGACAGCTCGCCGGCCCTCGTGAGGGAAACCAGACCTTCCTTAGGGACTGATGAAGTTCCTCGCCTGTAGCCGCCGACGAGACTCCCTCTTGCCACCATGCAGAAGCGGTCACCCCCGCCGGCGCTGAAACGACCCGCAATTGGCATCGATTTGGGTACCACGAAATCCTGCGTGGCGCTCTTTCGGGACGGCACGGTAGAAATAATCCGCGACGACCGGGGCGCCCGCGCCGTGCCCAGCTGCGTGGCTTTCACCGAGACCGGGAGGACGATGGGAGAGGAGGCTAAGAACCGTGCGGCCCTCAACGCGCCGAACACCGTATTCAGCGCCAAGCGCTTGATTGGCCGCAGCTCCGAGGATCCAGCTGTGCGGGCAGAGGTGGCCTTCTGGCCTTTCCAGGTCGTGAGAGCGAAGGAGAAGCCCCGGGTGCAAGTGTCTTACCAGGGCAAGAAGAAGGCTTTTTCCCCCGAGGAGATCTCTGCCATGGTGCTGGGCCACCTAAAGGAGATGGCGGAGGCTTACGTGGGACATCCCGTCACCCACGCCGTTATCACGGTGCCGGCTCACTTCAACGACTCCCAGCGCCAGGCCACCAAAGACGCCGCAACCATTGCTGGCCTCAACGCAGTGAGGATCCTCAACGAGACGACAGCAGCTGCCCTGGCCTACGGCTTAGACAACCCTAGCAGCAAGGCACGCAACGGGCTCATCTTCGACTTGGGTGGAGGATCCTTCAGCGTCTCTGTTTTCACCATGGATGGGGGCATCATTGAGGTGAGGGCCACGGCGGGTGACACCTGCCTCGGCGGAGATGATTTCGATAACCGCCTGGTGAGCTTCTTCGTAGATGACTTCTTTCAAAAGCATCGGGAGAACATCGGCCAGGACAGGAGAGCTGTATGGAGGCTCAGGACGGCCTGCGAGGCAGCCAAGCGCCTGCTGTCTTCCAACGGGAAAGCCAGCGTCCGCCTGGACGGCCTGTACGAAGGGATCGACTTCCATGCAGACATCACCCGGGCCCAGTTTGAGGAGCTGTGTGCCGGCCTCTTCCAGAGGACTCTGGAGCTTGTAGACAGGGCGCTGCAGGATGCAGGTCTAAGCCAAGCCCAGATCCACGATGTGATCCTGGTCGGCGCCTCCACCCGCATCCCCAAGATCCAGCAGCTGCTCCAGGATTTCTTTGCAGGCCGGCAGCTGAACAGAAGCCTTAATCCTGAGGAAGCCGTGGTCTCTGGGGCAGCTGTCCAGGCTGCCATCCTCATGCAGGACAAGTCACAGGTCACCCGGAGCTTGCTTGCCTTGGATATAGCATCCCTGTCCCTGGGGATCGAGGCAGGCATAGGGAAGATGCACACCCTGATCAAACGCCGCTCGGCCGTTCCCGTTGTGGTCACCCGGACCTTCACCACATTTGACGACCACCAGCCTGACCTCATCATCCGAGCCTATGAAGGGGAGGGGGCGACCACCGAGGAAAACCACCTCCTTGGCTCTTTCCTCTTGAAGGGCCTTTGCCCTGTCCCTCGCGGCATGCTGTTGGTGGAGGTGACCTTCTACATCAACGCGGATGGCATCCTGACAGTGTTCGCCCGGGACAAGGCTTCTAGCAACGCTAGCGCGATCGCTGTTGATGCCCGTAAGGGGCGGCTGAGCAGGGACGAGCTGCAGAAGCTAGCGGCGGACCATGAGAAATACCAAGCAGAAGACAGGGCGCAGAAGTGGAAGCTGGTCACCAAGAATTACCTCCAGTCCTGCGTTTTCAGCGTGAAGCGAACCTCGGAAGACATCCTGTGCTACCTCACCTTGCAAGCCAAGAAGAAGATGGTGGAGAAGTGCCAGCAGGCTTTCTCCTGGCTGAGTCCAGCCAGATGGCTGAAAAAGAGGAGGTCAGGGCCAATGAAGATGGTCTCGGGACCATCAGTGTCGGGACCGAAGTCCCTCGGTAGTAGCGCAGCAAGGATCAACAGGAAAAGGCCGAATAAGTTTGTGGTCACCACTTGCAGCTGGACCGTCCAGTTTACCCAAACCACCACTGTGATCTACCCTTAGGAAGTCCTAGCTGGGCTTGCTGGATGCTGTTTGGGCCCTGGATTTACCACCCAAGATAGCTAATTAATAAAGGGCCCCTTCCACGAATTAACAACCATCAGCCTCAATAAATTCTGCCTCTCACACTTGTCCGTACGGGTGTAATTATTGATTAATGGGCAAATAGTAAGCCGCAGGGCACAAGGGCTGGGATTTTCAAAGGAACCTAGGAGAAGGTTGAGCAGGATCCTGTTGACTTTCAGCCAAAGGTGGACTTTTGAATCCTGGTCTTGGTTCATGTTTCTGAGCTTATTGTCTACTGCAGGGACCAGGTGGTGAGCTCTTGATGTCAAACCTATGGAGCAGGAGTGGCCAGACTTCCTAGCTCTTTTAGCTGCAGGCCAAAATCTTGACCCAACCAAGAGCCACAGGACACAAACATTTTGAGAGATGCATGCCCCAGAGCCTGTGATCTGTGCACGGCATCAGACTGCTGCTCTTTCTCCAGGGCCCACATTTAAACTCTCAGGGAGCAAAATGCTGCTCATGAACCATGGTTCGCCCACCACTGCAGTAAGAAATCTGTCCTTTTCCAAGGATAACGTAGCATGATCTCACCCATCAGAACATTTTAGCTGCAAATGCAGGGGGCACTTGGATAAAGCTAAAGTGACTCCGTTGAAGCTAACAGAATAAGGATCAGCGTTTGAGCTCAGTTACGCTAGCCTACATCTGGAGTAATTCCACAACCACCCATTCCAGATTATGGCCTGTCGTGCAGGTGTGGCTCTACAGGTCTGGGAACATTACTCCTTTCACACGAGTCCTTTCTAGTTTGCCTTCTTGCTCCACTAAGCAGTCCTGATCTCTTTAACCCTCCCAAAATATGATGCTTTACCTCTGTGGTTTTCAACCTGTGGTCCGCGGACCCCTGGGGGTCTGCAGCCTTGCCTAAACGGTCTGCAAAAGTTGATCCATCACAAGTATGTGAATACCCACGCTAACAAAAAGGGCTCCACACCTCCATTCAACATTTTTTAGGGGTCCGCAAATGAAAAAAGATTGAAAAACACTGCTTTAGCTGCTCTGCCTCCCTTCACTTCTGCTGCATCTCCATGCATCAAATTATTAGACCCATGAAAAATGTTTGAGGCAACCACACTTCCCACGCCCCTAAAAAAACCAAACCAAACCCACAATACTGCCCAACCCAATCTCCATGCTCTGTGATAAGTTCAAACTATAAAGTGCAAGTTCAAAGTATAACATGTCGCGTTGTGATGTGCAAGCTGCGGATGGCCAAAATTGTGTTTCACTATCTTCAACAAAAATCAAACGCCTGGAAATCTGAGCTCCGGATTATTTCTTCTCCGTGATCTTCTCCCTCTGCAGAACGTAAATTCAAGCGCGCATCCTACTGCGACTACTTAAAGACCTCCGTTCAACATCAACCCAGCCAATCGCAAAAGAAAGTGGACCAAGAAGAGAAAGAAAACAAGAAAACATTGTGAAATGCTGCCCTCTCATGGGGGGAATCCTCCTACCTGTGGACGATCTTCCTGCATCTCAAGTACTGAAGACCAGTTCTTCTTAGTGCAACAGGTACCCTGCTAAGGCATGAATGGTTGGTCCTCCCTGGAGCTGGGACCTCATGCTGCTATTCCAGGATACTTGCATATCTTCCCATTCCTAATCCTGATGTTCATATTCTCTGTACCTATTGTGGGTGCCTACAGAGCTCCTGTTGGGGAGAGGTTGCTAGGGTCCTGCATACAACCCCTTGTTGCAGTGAGGGGCATTTGGAAAGGGTTGTTGGTTATAGTCGTGTTGGTCTAAGGACACAAGCAGACAAGGTTCTTTGGGTAAATGTGAGATCTTTTATTAGACCGGTTAAATAGCTGGAAAAATTGTTCTTTGCAAGCTTTCGGGTGGAAACACCCTTCTTTGGGGAGTTTGGCAAGACTTTTCATCACTTGTCTTCCAGCTGGCTGGAGCAAAGGGCAGAGGGCTTGGAGGCGCGGAACAGGACCTGTGCCATTGGAGTCAACAGCAAATACTCGAGCGGGTGATCAAAAAAAAAAGCATCACGTGGAAACTTGTTCTAAACACGGCAGAACTTTATTTGCAAGAGAGAGAAGTGAGAAGCCCAGCCCCGATCACCAGCCTCAGTGAGCCGGGCCAGCCTGCATGGGCTCACACCCACAGCTGGGACCAGACCGTTTAGGTCTCAGCTGCTCTCGGGGGAAGGAATCCCTGCCTGGGCTTGTGCTGAGATCTCTTGAAAAACATCAGTCCCTCCGCTGTGGGTGTTGGGCCCTGCTGGAAACTGTGCCCAGTCCTCACTAAGCAGGCTATCACTCACGATGGCAGAGCCCCAGGCAGAGGTCAGCAAGACGACCTTAACTGCAGTAGCTTGGCACAGACACAGAGGATTGCTTCCACCTTAAGTCTGCAGCACTGAACTATCAGCTGTGGGCATGCGGGATAAGGTGGGGGGCTGCACTCAGGGAAAGGATAGGAGCTGGAGTGGAAAACAACTCAGCCCCTGGTCTGCTCATTAATGGCAAGAGCAGCTCTTCTGCTTCATGGAGAGGGGGCAGGGGAAAGCGTGGGGAGAAGGGAGACTCTGCAGCAGGTTAGCAGCAGTGGGTGCCTCTTTAGTAGAAGTGCAGGGATTGCATTCGAAGCCACTGCCATGCGCACAGACTGCCAGGAGCCCCCAGAGTACCAGAGGGAGAGGAGAGCAAGGGGGGGACCCACTTGAGGGAAAGACCGAGCGCCTCTGCCCAGGCCCCTCCAAGCAGCCTGGTGCTGCATGGCCACTTGTTAGGCATTTGTTAGCACAGTCAGACTTTGCATTTCCATAGCCTCTTCTTGGGCTCTAGTCAGGTCTGAGCCAGGATGGTATCACCTGCAGGTTACAGCTGGGGAGACTGAGGCACGAGAAGGGGGTCACTGAGCAAGTCGGTGGGAACAGACCCCAGGAGTTGCGACTCCGAGCCCTACAGCAGGGGAGCTGGGGCTAAGGAGACTGCAATGGGAGCTAAGGGGCTTTTGCTGCACCAGGGAGGGCGCTGGGTGTGGGCAGGGGAGACTCCCGACTTGGGAGTGGAGGGGGAGAGATGCATCAGCCTGCACCAGGATCTGGGGACAAGACCAAAGTGCAGGCTGCCGCATAGCTGGCCTCTCCTAAAAGCAAAGGGGACGTTTGCCAGCCGGGCATCCACCCTGCCGTCGGGAGAGAGGCAGCTCCAAACCCGGAGGCTCTGCCTACTGGGGCCTGATTTTCATGTCCACGTACTTGTAGGAGTAGTGGTAGCCCTTCCCCGCGGACCAATTGATCCCGTTGGCAAAGGTGCTGTGCTGCCCCTTGAGATAGAGCCCGTTGAGGTTGGAGGAGTGGCACTTCCCGTACCACCAGGCGCCTTTGTAGACGATGGAGCAGCTGTTCTCATAGTTGTCGTTGTCTTTGTCCATCGTGGAGAACGGCAGCTTGTTGTGTCCGCTCAAGGAGTCTCCTGCAGAGGGGAGGGGACGCATGCCACGTGGTTTGGCCTGGCTGAACTTTCTCTCATGCACAAGCTCATGATGCGCTTGCCACCCCTGGCTGCAGTGAGAGCAGAGCCTTGCCTCTACGTTGCTGGTTGCTCTTGATACACAGAGCAGCTGCTTGTCTTGCACTCTTTGCTGGGGCGGTACCCACCAGGCTCTCTCCTCTGTGGCTTATGTCCACGGCTTCATGCCCTGCTACCCTTGTCTTTAACAGCCCTAACGCCTAGATTGCAGATGCAACAGACCCTTTGCCCCTCACGGCCTATGCTCAAACCTCAGAGAAGCCACTAGTGGAACCAGTCCCATAGCCTCGCACCTGCTCTAACCAGATGGCACAGTCACCAGGCCAGGCTGGCACGCCGTGGCCCAGCTGCTCACCCCTGCCCCAGCCAACCGTGCCCGGCAGCTGGTGCCAGGCCACCCGCACAGTGGCCCTCGCTCGCGACTCACCCATGTCACCGTTGAGGAAGGAGCCCAGGGCGAGGGCATACTTCTCCTCCTCGCTCAGGATTTTGAAGCTGGTATATGTGGCAAACGTGGCGCTGTCATTGAAGTCCCTGGCGTCGATCCGCAGGTGGTGCGTGTCTGGTGCCCGAGGGAGAACAAGGCGTCAGTCCCCAACAGAGCAGTGTGGGGGTGACACCATATCTCCCTGCCACCACGGGGACTGCAGACCCACCCCACTAGCCTGCTGGACACTTATTTTTCACCATGCCCAGAAAACAACTTCACACCCCTTAAAGTGCTGGGTTGCCAAGACAACAGCCTGCCTTACTGGCCAAGACGGCCTCATTACCCCCTCCCCTTTCCCTGCCTGTATCTACCCGCTGTCCCTGGCCGGAGGGGATGCTTGCAAGCTGATTAGGGCAGAGGCCACGTTTTCCTTCTGCCTTTGCACGGTGCCCAGGCAGCAGGCGCTGGTTTGCATGCAGGACTCCTAGCTGCTGCTGTTACCCAGGTAATAGCAACCCCCAATGCTGGAGGCTGCAAGTGGGAGAGGAACAGTGGTGGGGGGAGAAAAACCTTGTCAGAGCCAGCTCATTCCCTTCCAGCATCTGGTGCGACACAGGAGCCTGGGCACCGTGGGCCCGTGGCATGACCCAGGACAGGGCAGTTCCTGTGTTTCTCAGCATCACAAGGCAATAGCAAGGATGGAGCTGCTCCACAAATGCAACAGGCTCCAGCCCAGCTCGTATGGATCCTCAGACCGCCTAGAAACTGCCCTTGCTAGCCAACTGCAAACCCCATTTGGGACTCTTTTCAGCGCATTCGGCACCCAGCCGGCTCTGCTGGTAGCTGGCCCTTGGCTTCGGCAGAGGCAGCTGCAGGTGGCTGCTACAACGGTCCTTTTGTCCCTGCCTGCTGCAGCTTGGCACTGGCCTTTTCCGCCGGGGAGGGTCCGGCCCCTGCTGCTGCTTGCTCAGTGGAGGAGATGCTGAGGCCCAGAGCATGCCCCGGTGCCACCTCGCTTTCCTGGATCTTCCCAGCACGGTCCAGCTCCAGGCAGAGGGAGCAGGAGGGAGCTGGCAGCTCCATTGAGTGCAGCCTCTAGCCTCAGCCCTGAGCTCCCCCAGCTTGCCCTGCCTTCCTGGGGGCTGGTGCAGCCCCTCCATCTCCTTACCAGTGCTAGTGAGGAAGTGGATGTTGTCGTTGCCCAGCCAGAACTCGGATGCGTGGTTCCCAAAGCCCCTCTTGTAGGACTCCCAGCCCCGGTAGAAGTCCACTGACCCGTCCTGGCGCCTCTGGAAGACCTGGCAAAGCACGGGGAGAGCTGCAAGGGCCACGTGCGGGGAAGGGGGCTGAACGCCATACAGCCGGCTGCAATGCTCATGGCCAGGGGACCTTCCGGTGATCCCGGCAAGCTCTGCAGATCCCCTTCCCCAGCTCAGGTGCTGACCCCAGAAGGCCTCTTGCACCCAAGGCATGACGTTCTCCGAGGGCACCGGGTGCCACCAGCACTGAGACCTGGTGGGTTCAGTTCGAAAGCCTAACAGACCAGATTTGGCTGCCTGGTCTTGGACCCTAATGAGCCCCCCTGGAAGCCAGGCCCTTGCCCCGCTCCCACCAGCATCCTCCCTCCCCCAGCCAACTCGCACCGGGGCAGCAGCCGGACTCACCAGCCAGCCTCCGCCATCGGTTTCCATGTCGCAGAAGACGGTCAGCCGTCTCCCCGTCTGGGGCTGGATGGTGTACCACCCGCTCAGCGCATTCCCCTGCTCCAGCAGCTCCTTGCAGTTCCTGGCAGCTGGCCGGGGAAGCGATGGGGGATGGAGGAGGGAGGGGGTCACTGATTCTCTGATGTCCTCAAGTCTAGCCAGGTCCTGCTCCCGCACCCGGGTCCCGGGAGGGGATACTGGCTGGGACAGCGGGTGCACACACCGTGGCTGGGGCTGACCCTGCCCCAGCTGTGACCCAGAGCCCTGAGCTGCAGCGGTAGGGGAGGTGCCCAGGGCAGGCACCCTATGCCACAGCCCTGCTGCTCTCAAGCCTAGCTGTACCCAGGCACAGCTGCAATCCCACCTCCAGATGCTGAGAGAGGGCACAGGGGAGGGCCAGATGAGTCATTTCGGGGCTGCTCTGTGCATATGCCAGAGACAGGCCCTCAGGGAAGCCTTAGCTGGTGTCCTGTGTTGCTCTGGGTCTGCAAACCAGGAACGATCACAGCTGCCCGGAGCCCGTGGGAAGCAGAGGGTGGACGCACGTGGCAGAGCCTGGGGCAGCGGGTGTGCAAGGGGCAGGACACCTTGGTAGTATTGAGCTGCGCTCCTCCATCCTCCCAGCTACTGGAGCTGGTCTCTTAGCTAATCTGCAGCATCCCCTGCCCTCAGCACATGGCTCTGGGGCTGACGGCCCCGGCAACCCCTGGGGTCCATCCGGGGGCTGAGCGAGCAGAGAAGGAAGGCACCTACCTGTCTGGGAACAGCTGTCAGGGGCCGTCAGACTGCACGCATCCCCTGCGGGAGAGAGTGAGCAGAGGTGTGACGGGGCAAGGGGGGCAATGCACGCACCTCCCCGGGGTGAGAACGGTCTCGCTCCTCTCCCTGCAGGGGATGGTCAGCTCTTCTCACCACGAGCAGGGGACGAGGCAGCACACAGGTGAGACCCCAGACCCTGGAGGGGATGTGTAGGGAGCACCGCGGTGTCACCAGGACCCCTCCCGGCCTCCCATTCCCCCCTTCAAGTTACCTTTATCTCCTTTCGGGCCAGCCTTCCCTGGGGGGCCCACGGGGCCTGGCTCACCTGAGACAAAAAGAGACCAGAGAAGGGCAAGCTTGAGACCCCGTGCTGGGGGGCGGGCGGGGACACAGCAGGCTGGACAGGTGGCAGAGGAGTTTGCTTCTAGGTCCTGGATTCGGATTCAGCACAGGTCTGGTCGGCCGTGACCGCGTGCTGGCAAAGGTCAGACGAGTTAGCGGGTCCCAGGCCGGCTGCCTGTGGACGGGGGTCTCGGCTGCATTGAGGCGGAGGGGGGAAGCCAGTGCAAACCGTGCGGTTGCGGGGGGCTCTACACTGATCGGGGACTGCCCGTTCTCCTTCACGTGGGGAATGCAGCTCCCCAGACTCGCTTTGTCCTCAGTGGTTTGGCACCGAACCTCTGTCCGTGCAGCTCATCGGTGTCCGTGTGTCCATCCTAGAGGCAGCCAGAGCAAGAACCCCAGACTTCCCCTGGCTCAGCCCTGCTAGCAACCCCTTACCTGGGGGCCCCCGGGACCCGGGTTCTCCTCTGGTCCCTGGCACACCGTGGGTGCCCGGCACGCCCGGTATCCCCGGCTGGCCCTGGAAGAAGATGGTCTTGTCCTTCAGCTCTGCAAGAGGCCGAGAAGCTGGTCAGGGGGAGGCCAGCGCGTGCAAAGCCTGGCACTGTCTTGCTGATCTCTGGGGCCTGGGAATTGCCCTCACCGCTCCCACCCCAGGCTGAGACACCCCTGCTCCCAGCTCGCACCACCTCCGATAGCCCTGGCAGCCCCTCCAGTCCCCATCACCACTCACGGACGCAGCTGCTGGACTCTGCATCCTGTCCGGAGACACCCTGCGGAGCACCAGCCACCAGCCCGAGCACCAGAGCCAACAGCAGCCCTGTCCCCAGCGCCATCCTGCCCTGCCTCTGCCACCTCCGACGTGAGCAGCTCTGCCCTGAACCCTTAAGTAGTGACGGTGAAGGGGGCGGCGGGGGGGATGCCCTGTGGCCAGCCCCATGCATTGGGCAATGCCCAGAGCCGTGAGCGGGTGGTGCAAGAGCGGAGTTTTCCGAACCTCCGGGTTCACAGCGGTCATGCAGAAAAAGCAAACACCTGAGTTGTGCAACCTGCTCACGGGGGAAGTGCCCCCCCCCCCCCCACCCCAGGCTGAGACCCCCCTGCTCCCAGCTGGCCCCACCCCCGACAGCCCTGGCAGCCCCTCCAGTCCCCATCACCACTCACGGACGCAGCTGCTGGACTCTGCATCCTGTCCGGAGACACCCTGCGGAGCACCAGCCACCAGCCCGAGCACCAGAGCCAACAGCAGCCCTGTCCCCAGCGCCATCCTGCCCTGCCTCTGCCACCTCCGACGTGAGCAGCTCTGCCCTGAACCCTTAAGTAGTGACGGTGAAGGGGGCGGCGGGGGGGATGCCCTGTGGCCAGCCCCATGCATTGGGCAATGCCCAGAGCCGTGAGCGGGTGGTGCAAGAGCGGAGTTTTCCGAACCTCCGGGTTCACAGCGGTCATGCAGAAAAAGCAAACACCTGAGTTGTGCAACCTGCTCACGGCCTCCCTCGGAGCTGTCTGCCAACCCCAGCCCCCGCTGCCTGGCCCTTCCCCTTCCCCGGCCTCGGTTACGTGGCGCTGTTCCAGGCAGTGGGCACGCTCTGCCCCAGAGGTGGCTGCACTGCAGCGGTGGGTCCTGGTGTGGTGGGCGGGGGGAAGCCAGGGCTGCAGCCCCCCAAGCACCGGTGCACTGCCACAACCTGGACCAGGTGGGTCCCACACGTGTCCTGCCACGATTGCTGCTAGAAAACGTGGCTGTCACTTGACGGGTGTGGGGAGCTCCCTGCTGCTGCCGTCTCACTGCAAGGCCAGGGAACCTGAGCTGGATTGGAGCAGACCCTGGGGGCACCTTCTGCAGCGCCCTGCTCCTAGGCTCGAGCATGCAAGGCAAAGCCACCCCCAGCCTGCCCCTGGGTTGGTTTAGTGCATCTGGCAGCCTGCGCCGGGCAGAGCCTCCCCGGGCGTTCGTCTTTGCAGCAGAGCCAGGGTCGCTCCGGGCTGTTCACGGCTCCGAGCCGCCGGGAAGCGCAGCCCGAGGACATTGTGTCTTCAGCTCCCAGAGCAGGAGAAAGGGGCACGGAGCAGCTGCAACACACCCCACAGGCCAGGACGAGGTAGCGGCAGAGCTGGGAAGGACCCAGGAGTCTTGCGGGGCCAGCTCTTGCTCTAACCACTAGCCTCCTTCCCGCTCCTGTTCCCAAGCCTGCCCAGTTACCATCCCCGGGGGTGCCAGGTCTAGGGCAGCCCGCTCCGGGCCCGAGTCTGCCCTGCAGCTGGTTGCAAGGCTCTCACCCACACTCGTCCCACGTTCCCGGGGCCTGGGGGGAGAGCTCAGGGGACGAGGCTTTGTCTGCAGGCCCGGCCCCTGCAAGGATGGCAGAGCTGGGCTGAGCACTGGGAAGAACTCATCCCGTGGACTCGCCGCGCTGCCCACCGGGGCTCCCGGCAGAGCGCTGGCTCCAGCCTCTGCGCTCCCACGGCTGCTGGTAAATGGGGGTCAGCTCCCCAGACAGCTCAGCACCAGTGCTGACCCCCCAGCTGCCTGCCCCCATTATAGCTCGGCAGAAGGTCCTTTGATCCCAGCTCCCAGATGGTATCCGCTCCACCGCCCCATGAAGCAGTCTCCACCAGCAAGGCAGGGCTTCCTCCCAGCTTGTGCCCTTGCCAGCACCCTTCTCCAGAGGGCAAGGCAATGCCCACAGCCAGGGCCAGACTCTGCAGACCCATGGGGCCAGGCTGGCTGGAGGTAACCCCGAGTCCCTTCCAACTATGAGACCCCTGGGAGGAAGGGGGACATGGTAGGGTGGCTCCCAGGACTCACTGACCCCCACTCCAGACACACCCCAACAAACCGGGTGTTTTTTCCCCATTACATTTATTGCTAGATCGGTCACATGCATGTCCCCAGGACAGCACTTCGTGCCTCTTGGTAGGAAGCAGAGGTCCTAGCACTGCAGCCCTCGCATCAGCATCCTGAGGCCCTGATTTGGAGTCTGGGGCTTGCCACCCCGGTGCCGCTTCACGTGCTATTAGGTTCATTAGGTCGGGTTAGGCTTTGCGACACGACCCACACAGTCCCCAGCCCCGAGGGCTCTTCCTCTGCAGTTACGTGTGGCTGCAGGGGACTAGATGCAGCGAACCCAGGAATACCCACTACGTGGGGGAGACACAGGCCACGCCGGTGGGCAGCATGTCAGGCACTGCTGATCAATCCAGGAGGGGGTAGGTGGCCGCGGTGGCCACCCCACAGTTGTTGTCCTTCATGGACATGAGGATGTAGCCGTCGTTGCCCCAGTACGTGGACCAGGAGTTCTTGACGAGCCAGTAGCTGTCCCCCTGCAGCACCCCGTAGCCCACAGCCAGCACGGCGTGGTCCAGCTCATTGAGCCCATTGCCTAGGGAAAAGGAAGGGAGAGAAAGTCTTATTCTACTACAAGGGACGTCTGCTTGGCCGACGTCAACACTGGCCACTGGTGCAGGTGCCGACCGGGGTCCCTGCGTGGAGGGGAAGCTGCCAGCCGCCTCCCGTGCCAAGCCCCAGCCCTAGGATCTGCATTATTGTACAGACTGGCATGTCTGCTCCATACAATAGATGGCCTCCTGTCCCCCGACGGGGCAGAGCCCCTGCCCCGCTGGTCTGCAGATCCGCTACCAGGCTCATCCCCGGCGAGCATCAGCAGAGCTGCCGTGGCACGTCCCCAGGGCTTGTCCAGGACCCCCCGCCCCGGCAGACCCAGGCTCACCGCAGGCAGGCTCATAGTAGACACCGCTGGAGTAGAAGGCGAAGGACTTGTGGGAGGCGTCGATGTTCACGGCCACGGGGCCGTGCTTGTAGAGAGCAGCTTTCAAGGCCGTGGCATTGCCGAGGGCCACGTTGACATAACTGGCTACTCTGGCGACGGGCTCAGACTGGTTGGAATGGCAGTACCCATTCTGGAAGGGAAATGGGTGGAAGACCCAGGGGACGGATCTGAGTTCCCCCAATTTGCCTGGTTGCTGATGGCAGCGCTAAGTCCCACCGCAGAGCTGCAGACGGGCTGCTCCCTTGCATGGAGTTATCCATGCACATTAGTGCACGGCAGCATTCGTGGCCCACGTGCATCCTGGAGCCATCAGAGCACCCCCCGATCTAGTGCTCAGGCCCCTTTCACAGCCCCGCTCCCAGCAGCGTTGCAGCACGCGACAGGGCTTTGCAGAGGAATGGCTGGCTCTCTCCTCCGGCCCCAGACTCACCTGGCCCAGGTATGGCCCGTAGGACTCGGCGCTGGCGATGCCGTGCTTCATGATCCACTCGTAGGCCTGCCACTCCTCGCCCCCGTCGCAGGCTTGGTTCCCAAAGCCCCAGGAGCAGTCGATCAGCGCTTGCTGGGACAGGGGGGTCAGCTCGCCGGTCTGGGGAGGGGCAGGGAGAAGGGGATGGTGGGCTCCCAGGCGAGAAGCCCAGCTCAACCTGGCCAGTGCCCTGCCCACCCTACTCCCCTCTCCTCCCAGGTGCCCGTCTCACCTGGAGGAAGAGGGCCCCCTCCAAGGCCCCTGTGGTTGCAAAGCTCCAGCAAGAGCCGCACACGGCCTGGTCCTTCACGGGGGTCACGGCGCCTGGGCAGTGAGAGGCGAGACCAGCGTGAGCTTGCTTTGGAGATGCGCTCAATGCTTCCAGCATCGGATCGGGAGGGGATGGCTCTGCGGAGACCCCCCTCCTCCAGCGGGTCACCAACCCTGCCCGGGCCGGCACCTGCAACCCAGAGCAGATGCTGGTCCTGCCCGAGGCGGTAGGTCAGACAAGGGGAGGGAGCAGGAGACTCGACCCCATCTGGGGACTGGTTGTTCCAGGGAGACGGATGTCTTAGTCCCTTTTCAAAATGCTAGATCCGCCCGCGGTTAGGGCCACGCCAGGCTCGCTCACCGTACAGCCGCCAGTCCAGGCTCTCGGGCAGGATGAGGCGCCGATACCGGTGCGCTGGGAAGGGATGTCCGTTGTTGCGCGCCCCGCTCTTCAGCCGCCCCCGCAGCACGGCCATCTCCTCCGGCGTGCGGTCGGCCAGGTGGTTCAGCGCCAGCTTGTAGGGCAGGTTGGCCCGGTTCTTGGAGTGCACGTACCTGGGGGTGGCGAGAGGAGGGAGAGGGCCCATGGGACCACCCGCCTGACTGCTAGTAGCCCTGTGAAGACCCCAGGCTCCCATATGGGCATGGATAAGGGAAGCTCTTGATTTGCACCTGCTGAGGTTTCAGCTTCTCAAAGCTCAGCCCAGCAAAGAGCCCAGGACAGGATCTGGGCCAGGGCCCGTGGGCTGCTAGGGGACACGCCGAGGGCAGTCGGCCCCCAGCCCCCGCGCACGCTGAGCAGCCACCCTGCATCCCTTCAAGATGAAGGGGATGCCGGGGACACACCGAGGGCAGTCGGCCCCCAGCCCCGCGCACGCTGAGCAGCCACCCTGCATCCCTTCAAGATGAAGGGGATGCCCCCAGCCCGTGCCTCATGTTGTGGATGAAGGCATGCTTCCGGTGCTCCAGCTCCTTCTCGCCGCTGTAGCGCTTCCCAAACTTCTCCTGGTAATGGTGGAAGAGGTGGTGATGGGCTCGGTCTGCATCGCCGCTGCGCCCAACAAACTCCTGCATGGGGTTCGCCATGATCCAATGCTCCGGCCCAGCCCCTGGCCAGTGCTCGCACGTGATCCCTAAGACACGGGTGCAAGGGACCATCAGGGGGTGGACTCGGACATGGATCAGACACCAGCTATGGACAGGGACAATCCCAAGCCAAACGTCATCATGCACCACTGTGCCTCTCCTGATCCCAACCGGCCACTGCTGTTGTCTCCGTTCAGCAGCTAGCCTTCCCCCCCGGTCTCATGCCAGGCTCAGCACTTGGGGCTGGAAAAAGCCCCTCTTGTACCTTGTCCAGTTCAAGTTCAAG